TATCTAATTTAGATTTTATTGGGCTGTCTAGCCGGCGCTCTGTAGTTTACCTAATAGTGACATACAGGTCATAATGCTTGTGCTGAAATCATACCTGACTCAAATCAGGATTTTTGGCCTTTTAAAGCATATTCCTCAAAGTCTAATAACAGCTTTGAATTTAGCATAGGGCGATGGCTTTCCGCTGCGTCAAATCAGACGAAAGTACGTCAGTTCAAAGAAAATTAATAATGCCATCTATATTCAAATAGATTATCTTTAATTATTTGGTGGTTAATAATAACAGATTCGACGAATCATCGATTAAGTACATCAAGTATTGTCTGAATATTCCAAAACGATTTTTTAATAACTAATATTTTATAATATTAACTCCGACATTTTACCCTTTGAAGCGGTATCCCGAATAACAAGCATCACCAAGAAGGAGACAGATGGAAACAAAGAATACATATTAAGATACCACTTTCCTTTTTCTTCTTTCCGGAATCTTGACATGTTTAATAGGAAAATACGATGTATTAAATTAGAATTTGTATTATGCTGTTCGCTAGATTCAACTATAAGGACGGTTTAGATATCCGGCGTTTGTTGAATCCGATGGTGCCTTTATGCCATTCGTAGTTTAACAAAATATACAATTCCATAACTTGTGTCAATGCTTCGAATATGCGAGCTGAGCGCGACTCGCTGCATTTGGGGTAGATTGGGCATCGACCCATTTTGGCCAGCGATTTCGACCATATCACAAAACAGCACATGCTTTTGAAATCGTCAAACCCGATTGCCGTTCCAACTGTATCTCGGGTTCTGCGGACGAGAGGGGCCCGGACCTCCTTATCCTGTTTTGTGTGTACGTAAAGTTGTCACCTGAGTAACTGCTTGGCCCTAGCAAGTCCTGTCTCGGCTTGTTTCGCCCCGACAAGACATGAAATCGTGATGGATGTCTAAGTTGCCCTGGTACGGCCCCGTACAACTCGTCACTATGGGCGGCTAATTGAAGTCGGTGGAGAAGAATTCTGTAATACAAGGGCGACATTGAAAAAGTCGAAAAGAGGCTTCTGCATAATATGTACAATAATAATTAACACTATAAAAGAAACGAATAAAAATTCGATTTGAGAGATGAAAGTTATAATGACTTAAAGGCTCTAGTATGTTAACTTGCCAGTTCAAGTAAGGCGCTTGCAAATGCGCCTTGCAAAGGCGCTTGCCAGTGAGACATTAAAGATTCCATAAAACTACAAGTAGATTATTTCATGAACTTCCGATTTGTCTTAATCAAAACATTGAGCAAAATTCAAAACACATCATCTCAAGCGTCGCGTTCCAGACTTCTGGTTCGCGGTGAGTACACCTCCTTTTCTCAGAAGTAGTGTAATTATAATGTGTGTGCCTTCTAAACCTGGCTTCCGCGGGCTAATTTCGAAACCAGGCGTGAACATCCAGTTCAGAACAATGCTTAGAATTAAAGCACTAGTACAAGGCATAAAATTCAAAGCATCGATTTTTCTTAAATATTATCAATTACTCTGGTTGCGCAAGGAATCGTTTTGGCATTTGCCCCCATATTCAGATTGCTTAATAAGCTGGGTTATAAACGGCCGACCTTCAAAGACTTATTTAGCTAACCGCGGATTCGAACTCCAGTTGCCCTAGTGACAGGCAACAATTTAAACGCACTCCTTACAGATATAAAATGGTATCGAAGAGAGAAAAGAGGAAAAGACAGAAGTGTCACAACGTTGATCACATGGCATCCTACCTGTATGTCCCCGTAACCATGCTCTTGGCCCCGCTATATTGACATTCGGCCATCATTTTATCGGTAATTCCAAACTCATTGAGTTGTTTTCGAACCTTGATCTCTTCTTTGCTCTGAGGAATCGTAATTGCAGATGCACTGCCCGTCGCTCTCATCTCCAAATCGTGGTCTTGCAAGGAACTTTGATCGGGTGGCTGATCTTCAATTCGCGGGCAAATGTTATACTTGTCAAGCGGCGTTGGAATGATTACTCCATAGAGAAATCTATGAGACTGGATTTGCGCAAGGGTCAACCTATCCTGCGGGACCATCTGCAGAATACCTTGAATGAGGTCTTGACATTCGGACGATACACAGGATGGTACCTAGGGAGAAAGAAACAGTAATCGGTTAAAGAGAAATTTTTGGAAAACGTGCCATGCTATTAAAAATCTTTTTTTACAATTTTTTTCAGAAACACGAAGCATTATCGAGTTTCATTGAATTGTTTACTATATTAAATAAATTATTATTTTTAAATAGTTTAGATACTATCGTTTTAGTAAAGAGTCGATTACGCATTAAAATCTAGCAATCAACAAACGATGAAGCAAATTGTAGAAGCATTTCAGATAGAGACGACAACAACAACCAAAAAAATTTTTTTAACCTAGAAATGTTCTTTAATAGCGCTGGTATCACACATAAGGTGAATCAAACTGGGTGCGGACCTTTTGATGAGATCATTAACGCCTCATTGTTTGGGCTAATTACTTCATAATACATAATAAATTTCCTTCATTCGCGTTTAATAGTAGTACTAGGATGAACAGAATTCTAAGCCTAACGAGCCGAAGAACAAGTAAAGCTATCATTGACATTGCAGTTATGGGCCATTTCTTAAGGCTCTATCGAACTCCACTCTGTAGATTATCAGGCTTCATAAAAAAATAACCGTTTTTCGTTTATCACGAATAAGCTTTTTTATACGCAACTATTTAAAATAATCTAGTTTTATTAACACATGTTTTATAAATATCGAGGGACTTCAATCGGGGACTTTCTGAATTTAACATGCAAGCACCGTCTTTTTACTGGCTGGCTGGCTGGCTCGCCAGCGTGCACAAACGAAATCAGAGCCGTTTTGAAACGTGATGAGGGCCCTTGATGTAATAATACGCAGTGGGTCCAATGCAGGCCTTAAATAATGATAGGGCTAATCATAACTCAGACCCAATTGAATTCCGCGCATCAATTAATCATCACGCTTACCTCATACTGACCCTCAAGTATCAGTTTTCTAAGCGCTGAAACGGTTGGCGCCGTAAACGGCATTAGGGCACTGACAATGAAATAGAGCATGACCCCCAGCGCCCAGATATCAACGTAAGGGCCAGGATATTTTTCTTCTCTAAACAACTCCGGAGCAGCGTATGGTGGCGATCCACAAAACGTCGTGAGTTGCTCCTTGAAGCTTATCGTGGTACTAAAACCATAATCGCCTACCTGAAAGAATGATGGCAAGGAGATGATTTATTAACTTCGCATTTCGAAATGAAAAAGAGAAAACAGATAGCGGTGAAGAACTTTATTGCATAGATATTGCGGGTTAAATATCATTTTATTGAAACGGCCATTCGGCAGCTGCGTGGTCTTTTTTTGTGAACCGAACACATACATTTCCAATAGACGTACCTTAACGTAGAGATTTCCAGCTAAAAAGACGTTTTCTGCCTTGAGGTCGCGATGAACAATATTCTGCTTATGCTGAAAAGGTAGCAGAAAATAGTTAAAAAAATACACATATTTTCAAAACAACTGACACACTCTCCAAACCAACGAAAATGATGATTGCGCGCTTGACGCTAAACGATAACAAAAAAAGAAAAAAAAAAACATATCGTGACTTTCTCGCGTCTTTACTTGGAAAACACGTTATTTGTACTCGCCATGTGGTCGACCGCCGAGCAAATCTGCGTGAAAATGATCTTGGCGTCACGCTCTGGGTATGCGCCTTTCGAAGAAATACGTTTGAATAGTTCACCACCTTCAGCGAATTCCATCACAAGGTACACCTTCGATAATGTTTCCACTACCTAGCATTGTTTCAAAATGAAATAATCGTTTTATGACTGTCAGATTCGAGATTTTCATAATTGTATTTAGCTTACTCCACTAATGACGATCTATAAGAACTAAAGGCGCTCACTTGCAAACTCCATTCGGATACACGTTTATTTTGCGCAAGGAAATGTACAGATGTATTCTGTTCCGCGCCTGGGTTTGTGGTATGAGATATTCTCGAATTGGTAATCATCTTTGATGACTCGTAAAATCGCTATGACATCCAGTTACGATCACGATTTACCTCGTATAATCGAATAGCATTTGGATGATGGAGCGCCTCCATAGTGGAAATCTCTCTGGTAAGCATGCGGTGGGTCTTCTGGTCTAGCTTACCTTTATCAATAATCTTGATAGCTACCTTTCCTGTAAGGCAACAAAATAATTAAGCTAACAGCCAAAAAACAGAATCGCTATACATGTATAGGGACGCTTTCAATGAACCACCGATGCTTGGCATTTTTCTGAACAATAAATACATCATAACATTACTGAAGTCTGAACGGCTCCAACGAGCGACCTTGTACTCGATGTTTTAGCCAAGCTTTACCTAAGTGATAAGCAACAAAGAAAGAATAGAAAATATTTATCTACTAACAATGGCCAATCGCTGCGATCTTTTATTTGAAAATAGCACATAATAAACAAGTGATTTTGGAGTCACCTATGCACATGACGCTATCAGTAGCTCTAAATATTAAACCAAATATCTGACAGTGTTGACATCAGCACTACGTGAGTTGGTTTTAGAGCCCAATGAAATACTGTTGCATAAAAATCAGAACGTATTCCCTTACCTTTAGTAAGACAATGTGTCGCAGCCTTTACTTGGGCAAAGTTTCCTGATCCAAGCTCTTCATGGATGCGATAAAGGCCAATTCTTTTACCCAGTGAAATTTGTTTTTGCCACTCATGGTTAGATTTTAATTGCTTGAGTAGTTTAGCATATGGAGTGAGGTCCTCGTCGGATTCTTTAAACATGAACACAAATCGACACACGTATAAAATACGATTATTAATTAAGAATTAATTAATTAATTTATAATTATTAACTAAAGACTAACCAATTGGTTAAGGAAACGTTTTAATTAAAAAAATGAGGCGCCTTGATTTGGCGCTTGAGGGCTGATTAAGCAAAAATGACTCATTTTGTGGCATCATAGAAAAGCTAACATTGTACCATTGTACGCAAATCATTTGAGGAGAAAACACACCAACCGTATCATCCAACGGTGTGATTCAGTAGCCAATGAGAAATCTTTAAAAAGCACAGAGTTATAAGTAGATTCTGTTTAAAACTTAACATGCATCTCGTTAATTCGTAGCGGGTTTCCCCATTACAAACGCCATTCTGCACTGCGCAAGTGTCAATACCTCAGGTGTAAGTGGCCTGTGCAGCATTTCCTGATAACTTTAAAGCTACTTTCTTTCCGCTCGTAAATTCTACTCTCATTATACCTTAATACGAAAAAATTAAACAACAAATAGAAGTTCTAAATATAATACTAAGTCACCGTCCAGTGGAGAAAATATTAAGTAACAGGGTACTAGTAGTAGTAAAATGCAAAGCAACTACAGAGCCCCTGAAGGTTGTGATGAAACACCCCAAGCACGAACGATTGCACGGTACCAATGATTATGTCATAATATTCAGGTCAAACGATGATTTCTCGTACGACATGGAATCTATACGAGGGAGACATAAAACACTACTCATACTTTTGTAGCTCCTGTTCATTACTACTCATTTACGAATATTGATAATATTCGTGTCATCGTATACTTCAGCTCAGGTGAAAGCCACGCGTATGAAGTGTTTGCGTTACGATAATTAAACCTCGCACTAATTTTTCTTGATAGGATTTTACGATACATTGAATGGCCGATTCACATCAATGATAAGAAATAATTACAGCATTAGGCGTCCATTTAAAATATCACTTATTTAACTCACTTATTAATGAACAATCAGAAGCGCATAGCATTCTGTTTGTTTCTTTAACCTCTAAATTTAACCATATCACTACTACATAAACAAATTATTATTACGAACACTACGATGCTAGCCTTAATCGCCGACACCAAAATGCGCTTTCCATACTTATAATTTTTTTAATTAATTAACCTATTAATTTAAATTAATTAATTAGAATTTAGTCCATTGTACACCATAGGATACATTCGTACAACTTAATTTTGGTTCATCACTAATTTAGTTTATCACTAATTTAATCAGACTTTTCTTGTTCTAACTTTACTGAATGTCTATCGTTCATCGTATATTTAGTCCAAATATCAGATCTCTAAAAACAAGTCAGTCATTGATATAATGAAAATAAAGGTCAATGATAACGTAATTATTTGGCAACATTTGCCGGGACTCGAATGGCGTGCTGCTGCTGCTGCACATTGTGTAAGCGTTCCCTTTGAAATAGTATTTTCATCGTACCTATCCACCCCGGACTATATATATATATATATATAAGCATCAGACTCTCATTTAGCATCAATAATCAGGTAACAATATGGTTTTATTTATGCATTGGCTTCTCTTTATATCATTTTAGAAAATCGATTCCTTAGTTCCTCACACTGATTGATCTGTTATCGTGTCCGATAGTGATTGTAAAAACCTACCTCGTCAAGCATTTACCTTCACATTCTATCCAATAAACTTAGTTTCGTAGTTAATACTCCTTTTCCTATATGGCCCTTGTTGATTCAACGGTATTTTCATTCAAACGGCCTTATCGTCACTTTTTTCAGTTGATCCTAAATAATTCTCAAAGGATCTCTGAACTGTGGCATTATCGACAAACCGGCCGCCGTACAATTCCGCAATAAATCCGAGTCCGTAACAATAATAATCTAGAAAGTATTTACAATGATATTTAGATAGACACAAGCGTCAACTTTTCGCACGAACATTTGCCTAGGCAAGCCAAACACACACGTGAACATTTCCCTTACACAGCCATATACAAGGCAACATGTGAGCGTAAAATAAATGTAATTTACAACTGATATCGGTGTCTTTGATATAATTGGGCTTTTGAAAATGTTCCATTGTTTTCTATTATCAGTGTTAACATTAATCACGCTGTGATACGGTTCCACTTCTGCTTAGTGGAAGAGCTCAATGTTTTACATTCGGACCTCTTTCTGTCTCTGCGTACGATTCTCTTTAACATTTTTTTTTTTTTTAAAATTTCAATTCGTGTTTGAGTGCGGAGTGGCGCATCTTTTCGAAGTGTCTCTAAGCACGTTCGCATGGATTCACGGCAGATCTACCTGTTCATGACTATACGTGTATCTGCTAACCGCTCGCATGTATCCTTTCAACGTCCGAAAAGCAACCAGGAAACAAAACTACCACAAATAGTCACATATTCCTAAAGATCTATGTAATGTTTCATAATAGTAACGTCGACTCGATTCATCACTGACTGTTGTTGCTTATTTTCATGTATCAATATCGGCTTTCTCCGGTCGCGTTTCCATCCGTGTGCTACGTCTAGTTTAAGTTGTTAGATATTATTAGGAATGAGACACAAGCTGGAAGTCAACTCTCAAGACAACCGTCGATCCAATCGAATATACGTTTTCGTCTACCTACACCTATAGCAATACATAGACATGTTTCAACCGCCTCTATTCGGCTAAGTACGTCGAAACTACCGGTAAGCTTAGATGCACTCTGTATTAATTAGGATTGTGTTGCTCCCCTGCACGGCACGGCACGGGATACAGAAGCTCCGCCGAAACGACGTGATTCGACGTAATCAAGCAACTTCGTTTACAATTGAGCGTTGGACTGGTCCGATGAAAATATTCGATGGTGGGGATGGATGGAAGGTATAACGAGAACGTTCCTTAAAGACTCTTGCAAAAGCTACAAAATTATTATCTGCAAGAAACGTTGAGATAACCGCGGACCCTAATTGGCAGGATTCCCGAATTGCTGGGCAGCACGCACAAGCATGCTTCTGCACCGCTGAAGGTCATTGTTAAGAGCCCTCATATTATTATCTGTAATACGGGCCTGAGTGTCGACCAAGTAAGTGTCGATGTGCCCGTTTAGGACGTTAATAACAGGGCGAAATTCAGCTTGAGGAATCAGGTCAGTACAGTCGGCCATTTTATAAATAATCCTCGTTGATATGATCATTAGATGCTCTCTCATACCTCGCATTTGCGGTCTCTGGTACAGGTCATAATAGATTCTCTCGATCGACGGCCAATCTTTGCCGCACTCAGCAAGAATATTAGCTAGCCACAATGGGTCGACTTGGGTGTTGAGGGCTATCCTTTCACAGTGCGCGACTATAAGCTCGACTGGGAAGAAGTTACGTCCGTCCTTAAACACTAGACATGCCTTGCGAAGAACACCAGGCAGATCATTCTTTCTTGATGCTTGTTCAATGAGCTTCGTCCACAAGAAGTTGATCAGATTTACGTCCGCATGTTCGACACACATTAACAGACGGAGTTGACACTCGGGGAGGTCGTACTTCTCCGCAAACTGCGTGTACAACTCGTTTATCGGGTACAGTCGCATCGAGATCGCTTCGCGTTCGTTGTTTGGCAAATGACGAGCGATTTCCTCTTGAATTCTCGCCACCTCAAGCGTCTCATCCACCTGCTGTTGAAGCTCGTTGGTTCCACCGGATTGTGCGCAGAGCGATGCCCTTGCTAGGTACGTCGTGCGAATCTCCAGTGGCAGCTCACCTTGCCAGTTGGCCAGATTTAACCACATATGCACAGCAGACTCGAGCTTTTTGTGGACTTCGTGATGGCGGGCAAGCAGCTCCAGCGTCGTGATTGAGGTTGGCTCCCTTTCGGTCCGATGTCGCAGGTATTTTTCTAGGCCTTTCGATCGTAAATTGATTAGTTTTTCACGCTGATCGGTCGCGAGAAGCCAATCGAATACGCACATATGAAGAAGCGGATCCTGTGACTCAATGCACCGCGTTAACATTTCATCGTACTTTTGCTGGTTAGCCACGTTATTCTCCCCGGGGTCAAGCTGATCTTGGGGTCGTACTTTTCGGTAGAGTCCGTCAAGCATCGCGGTCACGAGTTGATAGCACTCTCTGCGCGCAATATACGCTTTACGGCCCCGGTCGTCGTCTTGCGGTTCACCATGTTCATAGTGGTCGTACGCGAAATTGTGTGGGTCCACATTATGGGCAGCCCATAAGCAGATATTCAGTAAACCCTCATAGTACCGGGACGAGTCGAGGATGCGGCAGACCATCGATAGGTGCAACGCCTGCACCGAGACCTTTCGACAGAGTTGGAGCGCCTGCTTGAGCATCTCCTCTTTCTCGCGCTCGTTCGTGATCTCACTAGCCTTTGTGAGCATCTCGTACGCCTCCGTATACAACGCGTCCTCATTGCCGTAGATGGATGGACAGAACTCTTTAAGTTTATTAGAAACGACTGCCGTGGTTGCACCGTCACGCAAATATGAATCAACGATAGATGTCGCCAGCGCGCTCAGTAACTGCTTATCGCATAGAATGAATTCCCGCACAGTGATTGCTTTCAGATAGTTGAATAGTTCCGGTTTCATGTTAAGTGAAATCGCTTCGATATCATGTTCGGCTGTTACGCGCCATAAATTTAGAACTTCCATTGTGTGCGTGACGAGAACAAGTAAGTTGTTCACTGAGTTTTGCTCTTCGAGGATTGCTTTTCGCTTCCATTGCATAGCATCCGTGGCAGGCAACACTTGTGAGCGAATATACATGTTTGAGCCACCGGGGGCGTTGCAGAAATCGTGTAGGAACGTCTTAAAGCCGTGCAGTTGCTGAAGTACCGGGGTGAGTGCTGCTGATGTAAGCACCAGCGAAAGTCGCGCCCGTTCTCCGGCATGTGGCGGGGCCTCCTTCGCCAGTTGGCTCTCGAAGATCGGTCGAAGAATCCTCGAGAAATAGACGAAAATTGAGTCATGCTTGAATGAGTGTGCAAATGACTGGTTGAGCGATTGGAAGTTGGTCGTGAGACCGGTCATTGACCCTGGTGGATTATTGTTATCGATAATTTGTCCTTGCAATTGTCCCGGCTGGTGCGTAAGCGCCTGTTGCTGCTGCTGCGGCATCTGCGATGGCATTTGCTGATTCTGCCTTGACATGTCTCCAGTGTATGGGTGAATACCGGGATGTTGCATATACGTGGCAGCTGTCGGGCCAATTGGACTCACAGGAATAAACTGTGTGTTCATATAGGGGGGCGGGCGAAATGGCGTACTCATGGTGTGTGGCGCACTGAACTGCCCGCCTGCACCCGCGTACGGCTGCTGTTGTTGCTGGTGCTGGAAAGGTATGTTCATCGAGTTCATCATCGTCTCCTGAGGATGCGTATTCGGGAACGGCTGACGGAATCCACTGGAGCTCGGCATCGTGAGTGCTACGTCAAGCTGGGGCTCACCGCCGTAGTAATTGAATGCCTCGCTGGCCCAACGTGACACCTGCGGGACGATATCGCCATCACAAATCAACTGCAAGCACATGACGCATCCTTCGAGGTAATTATAATACGCGAAGAACGTCTTGATCGGATCGTCGTGCAGGGCGCCGCGACTCTCGCTTAAGAGGTGCCGAAGTTGTTCCGTTGGCGTCATCATCGAGATGATCTGACAGCCTGCGAGAGACACCATAACGAAGCGTGATAGGGAATTGTGACTGCCCTGACGCTTCCGACGCCCTGGCGTATCCGCTGGCGAAATTGACCAAATATTTCGATCGACGACCATAAAGCTATACGTTTCGACGAATTGATTTGCGCGCCGGAAATGCGCGAAATGGTCAACTGCGATGAGGAAGTGTCTATTGGAAATCATAATAAAAAAAAAAGAACATCTTTCATTAGACGAAAAACAGGATCATTTCGGAACTATACAAGCATATAAACATAGTTCAACAAGTTAATAAACTTGATTAATGATATTTCACAAAGGTCAAGTATATGTGATGCAAAACTACCGTAAGAGAACGACAGAACTTCATTATCTGTTTTTATTCTCCATAAAATCAATTTGTATGCTTTCATGTATGCAGCGGAATCTGTGAATGAGACACAGCAAGTTTAAAAAAATGACCAAAAAATTGGATAGATAATATCGACACTTTCTGTAACTTACTACTAATTACTTTCGACAATACCTACTTTGAAATAAACAAAAATAAAGGTAAAGTAGAATGCTTAGCATATACCCTGGGTCAAGGATGCAATACTTACGATATTCATTTTTCTCCTTGAAAAATGCTTACGTATTGTCTAACGTTTTGTAGTGTAAGTATCGACAATAAATTTACAATCATTTACCTCGCTGTTACTATAGTTCATTGAATTCATCAGAATTGATACGTGGCATATTTTCCAGCAAATATATACATTACGTACCTGTTTTCGTTTTGCTGGTCAATCATTAACGACGCAGATTCAATGTTGAGCCCATTTGAAATCTTGGTAATTTTATGTGGCAATGCCAATGGTAACCGAACATGCAGAGTCAACAAGAGACATGGCCTTCCAGTTTTTGTTGCCGGTTCACACGTTGTTAGAAAGATCCGCGCACCGGACTGCGTGAACGCGACCAGATGAACGGCGCCAGCTTCGTCCACCGGTAAACTTTCGAGGTGAATCACTCGACGAATTTGTGTCGGAACGCAATCTGTTACTGTTTTCAGCAGGGTATCCTCACCCGCTGAAGCGACATAGATCATCTCTTGACCATCCTGACCGAGATCATAGACAGAAATGATCCCTTTATCTGAGAGTGTGTACAGAATTTGGCGAGCGTTATCGATACAGATTTCAGTGACAGGGTCCGAGCCACGGAAGAGTGCCGGTAGCAGGTTGTTGAGCAGAGGGAACCGTGAAGAACAGTTTGTCAATTTACAGAGTGATTGGAGCCAGCCGCGTTGGGCGAAATAACTGAATTCGTATAACGAACCATCCTGACCCCCTAGAAAAATGCGGCCGTTTCGTGCGCCCTTAATTTTCGTAACGACAATATTTTCAAGTGGATAACTATAAAGTGGTTCATTGACAAAATGAAGCTCGATGTCATTATTGGCCGAGTTTTCAGCCAGTGTCACACCGAGTATTGCCACTTCGGAGGGAGTCGCTACAGCCAGCAGGTAGTGGACGTGGCTTCTGAATATGTTCGGTTTTGGTCGGACCAGATCGACTGCCAGAATTACGTTCTCAATACCGTCATAATAGACAACGCCTTTACCAGTGCGATAGTTCCAAATAACCAAATCGGAGTCGACAGCTGCCCATGCCCTTTGAATCTCCGCGAACACTCCCGTCTGAAATTGGCACCGCATTCGTTGGAAGTGTTGAACGAGCTCCGGCGGAAGCGTAGTCCGGTTCTCTTCGCGGACAATTTGACCTAACGGCAGTTTAATATAGTCCGTTTCGCTGAGACCTGACCGGCTTGGATTAGTAAAACAGGCTTGCCCTCCGAGGGCATCGATTAGCTGGGATGAGGCTTTATCACGTTGCATGTGCGCCATCAAAAGCCCCATTGATGTCTCGATCCGCTCACGAGAACTGGGCATAGTCTGCTGTTGCTGTTGCTGTTGATCCATGATGGCTCTATCTTAAATTTTGCCCTCTGTTAGAACTGTTCAGTAAGTTGAGGTGAATATCCGTTGGTACGACTTGATTCCCCACTGCTCAAAATAGGGAAACACGGATCGAGCTATCAAATCTCGTTCTGGCGTTTTACTTTGGCACTACTACAGACATGCAACAACAACCGTCAGACTATTAAACTCGCGAGAACCTTTTACGCTGTGCTTTCACAAATCTTAGGTTTCCACTTCGGAAGCATGTGTAGATAGGTAGAGAAGACGTAGAAAAAAGTAAACAGTAGGTTAATTCTAACAACCTATCTGGTTTGTTAGCTTTCTGTGGGCCCCGATTTTAATCGATTGACGCGGGTCAATTCGGCCAACATCGAGGAGGTGCAAAGAATGACAATCTCAAAGCAATCGGCGATCATTGAAATCGAATTTACCAAACACGAAACGTAACGATCTAATACCGTTTCGTTTGCTGCGAGTGTCTTAGTTCAAACGAAACCGTTTTTTGCCTACAGGATCCAATAACACAAGCAGGAAAGGGTATCACTTAAAGCCCAGCGGTTGGCAAACCCTCACACGGGTCCCGAGCGAAGGTGAAGAAATCGGGTACGGAAGCTCTGCCTTCAGATCATTTGGACCGCAGCTAAGGTTTAAGAAGTCTCTGCTATTATGTTGAGCCAGCGACACCATTCACTATTGAGTCTTTGGTTTAGCGCGGCACTCGTAGCGAAATTCCCTCGTACCGCCGACACCACACTTTAGCGCTCACACGCGCGCCCAAACAAAGAACAACACCGACTCATAACAACATCGGCAAATCCGACTGGCGGACAGACACAGATCGGGAGAGCGGCCAGGTGACGCGGTTACTACTCGCAGGCAACTAGATTTAGCAAGCAGAGTCAACTACTTAACCCGGGAGAAACAGCGCGACCGTGGATTCGCAATTATAGAATAGAGAACAAAGAACAGTCTGCAATGGATATTATTATTATCATCAATACTACTAAGAAGAGCATTCTTTCATAAAGGTAAACAGGAATCTACATCGCAATTGGAATAGTTAATGACATTTAAACGAGAATATTTAATATAAAAATTCACACCGAAACGTAATCATCTAAATGTACGTACCACACACGAAATACGCTGCTGGTGCATCAGCCACAGATGCTGTGGATGAGTTCAGTTCTGGCAACACTTTTGAGCATAAGACTATTGTAACTTAAGCAAAACTTAGACACCCAATCGTTCTAAGGTTAAGAAATAGACACATGTGTAGCATCGACCGAGAAAAACTAACCACGCCATTTTCGGAAATGTCTTTTCCAAATTCTCAATCATGTTTTTTGTATTCACGAGGTGAGACTTCCATATTTCGAAATCATACCGATGTTTCCATTAAATAGATAAAGTGTTGATTAGTTTAGTCGTTACCAATTAGTAAATCAATTGAACAGTAACCTATATACACCCAAATTTCATCTCGCGGGCACGGTCGTAATCTATGTTCTCATATTTTCTGAAACTACTGCGACATTTTCATCGAACCACCCATCAACTTCTTGTTAATGGGCTTCAGTGAAATTGGATTTATTAACAGAGTAGTACGTTATAGGGCATTTCAAGGATGTGACACCAGGTGAGCTATAACGAATTACATAAGCATAAAGACGACACACAACAGTAAGGTAACACAACTGCTCTGCTAAGCCTACGAGAGCTGTTTCTATACCGAAAACAACCAATTAATGAGATAGGCATCAAAGCATTTTATGTCTGTATTGAAAACGTTCTTCTATTTTGACTATATTTACTTTCTTCCATAGATTATTTTATTTATTATTAAAATAGTCTATGGAAGTAAATCAGTTTTAAAGAACCTCAACGAATATAGAATATTTGCCCCAAAAAAAGGCAAGCCGTTTCCTTGAATAAATCATAATATCTAATTCATTTATTAATAGTAATAATAATAATATCCTACTTTAATTCAAATTAAAGATCATTGTATGTTCATGCTTGCTCCTTCGCGCGGCAGTCTATAAGGCAGTTAGTAGTAATGTAGTAAGTATAATTACTTTTTCAGTAAATATCATCCATAGATTGCCTTGACTCAACAGATAATCACCTATTGTCATCTATTGACAGAGCTTGCTCTGTATGCACACATAGAAAGCTCAACAGCAAACAAAGCAATGTTTAGACTCTGTGAAATAGTAAAGTTATATAGATTTGAGTAAGTTTTTTTTTCTCACATAAGAAACTATGTACATTACTCATTACTTTTTCTCTATTGGTCGTGCTACCTATATGTACTTGTTAGATTTCGTAAGTGATACAATTCATACGAAATAAAATATTAATCTTTCTTTCTTTCTAGTCAACAAGGTCTGGTCCCCATTTAACTGGCGCGGGAGAGTCTCAACGTTAGAATTAAACGTTGTAAACTGGTATTCCTCAAGCTATCATGTTCCTTGTAAACGTACTATTCACAAAGATAATTGACCTACCATCTGCACGCTGTCAATCAAGTTGTCTCTTTTCATAAACACTAGAAGTATCAAAATTAATCAAGGGCTTCAGGAAAGCTAGGTGTTCAAAACAAGCTTTTCTTGTATCCAAACTGCTCAGTGATTCATGACTCGTTTAAAGATGTTTTTCCCCCAACGGGGCAATTAGCGACAGCAAATCATAAGGCAATTATTAATAACTGAAGATAGCGGGACATAAGTCTGATTTCCAGTTTTCCTAGCTCATTTTCGCTTGGTGATAGACAGTATATTTGGAATCAGGCTGAGCGTAACTGATCATGCCAAGCGTGGAAATTGCGTACGGCCTGCCGAAATATTCACAGTGTCTGTCTACCTTAACGTAAGGCCGTGTCTAGTTGAACCAACCAAGACTGGCGCGGATGGCCACTGTGCATCTTGTTCAGTCCGTTGCCATCGCTGCTGATTCAAACTTCAGCATTGGCAGATGGTTAGAATGGTATATGGTTATTTGTTGCCAACAGACATCTATGGAACAACACTTTTTTGCTGCCGCTTTTAGTACAGTTTCGACAGGGTCTTTCATCAGTAAATTTACGGAAAAAAAGAGAACATGTTGAATTTCAGCGTTCCCGCCTCCCAGATCACTACTGCCTCTTATTTTCTGCTCTCTGATAATTGCGATCAGCGCAAATCGATCAGTCAGAGCCCCGCAGTTTCGGGGACGTTCGTTACAAACGGTAGCAGCGGCTGTGGAGATAATGCGGTCGCATACGAAATTCGTCTTGATCGTAGCAGTCTACTCGGGAGACCAGCAAGGATGATCGGGTTTACAGTGGCCTAATGCGGCCTTGTGCCGTTTAGCTGTATCAATTAGATCATTCCAGCAACATGAACGAGGCCAAGGGCAAAGGCTTTTGAGAAAAAGCTTTGAACGAGGCCCTCGGTGATTGGGTGCGATAAGACGCTACCGCCTTGGACTTACGGCTTCGAATACATATGCGAGCATTGAAATGAAGAACTTAAGCAATGTGTTAGATGGTATCGCGGTAGAAGTACATGGGAACAAGGGGTATGACAATAGTCTTGAAATAAAGAACTGAGTTTAATAAAATAAATATTAATAATAAAGTTGACAAGGGGGTATACAGTTTATTTGTGTGAGGTAAACAACTTTACGTTTATGGAAGGCCTCTTATGAAAGTACAACTTTATTAATTCACAGGTGTTTATTTAGTATGAAATACATACGAAGCGCAGTATTAGTGCTCTGATTTTTCGTCTTTAACAACGTACGGTTTTTTTTGGTGGGCCGATTAATGCCTGCGTCCCTCGTTGTTCGATACGACTGTCTAATGAATAGACAGAATTTCTTGGGCCGGGCACGAAAAACCTTTACAATCACGAATCGGCAACGTTGTCTCTACGCAGGCAAAAAAGCGACACAGTAGTTTGATCAGATCAGTTCTGATCTGAGGGGATCCTGTAACAAAGTTTGTGGTCTAAGCAAACAAGCTCAAAGATAGTAAAAAGTATCTGATCTACTATGTTCGATATAAACTATAATATCGTGACGTATATGACCGTATATAAATTAAACTGTTTCAGTAGCCATTATGATGCTGCGGCGTAATCGATGCAGTCGTGCGTAGTAACAGCGTAAGTACAATGTACACTGACAGCTTAGGAGCAAATGCTATTCACGCCGTTTTGACATCGTGTTCCGAAAAAAATGCAGCAATGACCAGTGTCTTTCATTTCCGTCAGACCTTCTGTGGTCATAAACAGGTTTTCAGAAATTCTTGGGGTTTATTGACACGAACGCCAATAAAAACGACTGAAAAAGGACGAGTCATAGTGCACAAAGTAGATTTGAGCAAAAGTGTGTCGTTGCATCATACATTAGTTCGCGAGCGGTCATATGTTTTAGGTAATGTTACATGGACAGACAAATTAAGTATGAAGTTAAATCTGTTAGGTAGCAATACTCCTCTGATCGCTCAGTGGTAACAGGTTTGCCCATTAAACTTGAAAGTACGTGAAGTGATTTAAGTTCGTCTAGGCACACTTCGTTTCGAGCTGGGAGAAACCAGCGGTTGTGCGCAGTGTTTTACCTATCCAGATGGACGAAACGTGGTTATTTAAGCTTGGCTAATGGGTATCGAAGTAGTACGCAAAATTCATTAGTAGATAATTAACATGCGCAGAAATCTAAGTGTTATGATGCAGACATGTAATTAAAATTGTTTTTATTACAGTAATTCTACGGGTCGTCAACGTTGCGCTGTAAGTAACGAAAGGCTGATATTCCCAAAAACAAAGATAAAAAAAAGGAAAGTTATATAGGTAATAATCCTATATACATAAGTAAGTTTTTAGGTCATTCGCGAGAGCCGATCTGCGTCGGGAAAACGCGTTAACAGTACCAAACTGGCATATCTAGTAAATTTGATAATTAAAATAAAAATAAGTTTTTTTCCTTCAGTTTTGCAGTTCAATGTGCGAGTTATATTTTTTACTTAATAGATAATATCATCTTAAAATTAAAGGTTATTACAATTATTATCTATTATCAATTATTGCTATGAAGTGAAGGCAGAATAAAAACACTTTTAAAGCACAAGCAAATAACCATCCTAGAGAACTTTAAGAGTTCCTTTCAGAATATTATCAAGCTTTTCCATCAGTTGAGTCATGCTGTGTTACTTGAAAGAAACAAAATTATTCCCCAGGAGTTTTTTTTTGCTAAAAGTGCGTACGGCAAACAGGAACAGTGTTTGTTTTTTTGTCTTATTTCTGTTCTATGTTTTTAGTGAATGTCCTAGACGATTAGGTAACATAAACATACGGGCTGGGGTGAATGCACAAATTACATATTATATGCGTAGGAAAAGAGGGAAGCCGAATCTCATTGAATCGCTGATGGTCGGTCAATGGTACGGCAAGTGGCGGCAATGATGTAATAACCGGTATTCTCTAACCGGATAATTTAATTTTCTTGCCAGAAATTAGGCCACCTGTCACGTTTTTTGCTATTTGCTGCCACAAGTACTTTTTGTCTATTGAGCAGTCTGTATTAATTAATCACGCTGATGATGACGCTTTAGTAAAGTTTTGTGCTGGTCATATTGTCATCAATCTATATAAGTACGCTACTGGTCACACTATAGGTACTAGCGGACAAAAAAGGTCTCATGAACAACAACAAAGGTGAATGAAAAAAACTACCTCAATAGCTGATACTAATGTATCAACTATTTTTCTACTACCTCGATACAATCTAACGATACGCGGATAAATTTACTATATGTATCTATTGGCACTGAGGTAACTACAGCCGTATCATCCAAGTCATACATATTCACAATTGATGTCTAGTTTATCTTTACCAAAGAGTAGATAGGCTAAACGATTTATAGTTCGCGGCTTGACATGCATTTACCTCCTATAGCAGCAAAAATCGATACGGTCGCTCTGATTAGCGAACGACTTGTCTACAGTGACAGCAAACACGATACGGTGTAGAGACCTTACAGGATTGGGACACGAGGATCCTATTCGCTTCGATAGGTTTCAATGCAAGCCGTGTATAGGCACTCCTCGTACGAATTGTCTATTTCGGCCATATCTAATATTTCCCTGTGCGAGCTAACCGAGTGAGTGTATCCACGTAAATAGCAATTAGAACTTTATTCAATACTGGTGATGGCTGTTGGTAACGGCATAACCAAGGCTATTAGGAGTTCATCCTGAATCTTTTTGCATTTGAGCGAGAAATAAAAGAGCTTTCTATTGCAAGCCAATACCACAAAATCATGGGCAGATAGATGAATACGCAAAGGGGCCGCCTGAATGCAAGTAGAGTTACACTGAGCCAATTCTAGTCTATAGAGAGTTGTGGCATTTACTGAACGATCATGGACATGCTGCAGTGGAGCTCTCCAAGTTGAACTATTATTACCCGCTTATATATATATTTGCCATTAAACAAAGCCAAGGAGATACATTAATGAAATTTTGCGTTATTAAAAACGCTGACACGGATGTAGCCAATAAAAATTTAAGCGAAATATTATACCGGGAGCCTCTCATATACCTTTACCATTCCTAAGATACCCTGTCTTTGCAGATACCCATAGAGCGGGGACATCCTAAACAAAAGCGATAATCTTCAATTTCAGCAAGCGAAGTCCGCATACCTCTGATTTCAATTGGTAAATCTTCCAGACGGTATGACCTAGACCTATCGCCACAACTCAGCATCGCTTTCGCTTTGAGAAAACATTTGACAGCTCAAAAGCTTTTGACACCTTCTTTCGAAGCTTTGTTCTAAAACTACAGGTGTTACTTATTCACTTGAATGTAAAGCAAACACGTAGGCGTGCCTTTTGACAATTTCCTTAGTCATAAACTGCTAGCAGGGCTAAATATTGTCTGATAGCAATTCAACTAAGATACACCGAAAATAAGGGAATGCCCAAAGTTAGTGAGATGAACCCACGTTTAGATAAAACCTCAATTCGTGTATTTTTGTTTTTATATTATGTTAAAGGATGATGCATTCATGGTTCTCAATACGCAAAAATAGGCTATAAACATTACTCGTGTACGGTTAAAGCGCCATTTACTCCAACTGTGGATCAACATATTTTTTTGTCGAAATCAAACACCTGCTCAGTGACAACAAATGAATTAAGTTCCATCACACAACTAGTCTAATCGGCTCCGCTTTGCCCAGCATCATGAACAGTTGTTTGCTCATTTATGATGGTAAAAAAACGTAGCAAGGTACACCTTATACAACAGGTGCTTACTTCATTCATCATACCATATTGCCAAAAAATCGGAAGTCACTTTACTCAGTTGGGGAGGCTGCGAACAACCTTCAAATGCATATTTCTGGGAACTTGTTGTTGCCACCGTCATGCCGGCAAAGCTATAACTAGAATTATTTACTCGTCTGTTGGGTCTAGCCTTAATAATTCCATAGTAAGCAAAAAACCTTTCAAAAAACTGTTTCAAGTTACTCAAGGTTGCGTTATTCTGCACTAAAACATTTATTGACTACTAAACGACCTGTAACACAACCTACTTTGCCCCCACAGTAGATACCAATGTACCCGACTATTTTCGATTTTGCGGAGGGGAGCACGCCTACATATAAACGTTAGTTCAAGCATCAATAGAAGAGTATTAAGGCGTGGCTGGCGATACGCAAACACGTGGTGGCGTTGCGTCAGTCCCATAACCACAGTCCGATAACCGCTATACGCGGCGCCAATTTTTGAATAGTAATATGTGAATCTACACGCAACGTCTCATCCAGCGCATAGAATTGCAGGATTAAACAAGTGCATCTGCAGCGGAGACCTCGAGAGAAAATGAGAGTTACTGAAAATTTAACGACCATTTATAGTGAAGTGTCGGGGCTATCAAGGCCATTAGCTGTTCGAGAATATACAATCAGGCCATACATATGCAATCCGTTGAGGAGCATTCGACACGAAAAACAGCAGCTATTTTATCCAAAAACAGGTAGAGCAGAAACGCAGACCTGGAAGTCTACACGCAAAAAATGCCCGGGCAAAGCAAGGATCTAGAAAAAGATTTTTCAAGATATAAACGGCCACAAATAGCTAAACATGTATGCCACTAACCGTTGTCCCGAGCTTCCTCGACGTTCGTCAATCGGCTACTATTATGTTTGCTACGTTTTTTTTGGTTTTTCGACGAACTCGTGCTCCTATCAATTGGTTTTTCAACACTTTGAAGCACCACAGGACTTACGCTGTTGCTTTTTTGGAAATGTCCGAACCGCCCCATCCTTACTTATCCCGTCACTAATTAGATAGTCTTTTTGCATTACAGGCCTATACCAGTGTCGGCCTAATCGCCTTTCTCCCAATAAATATCGCCCCTTGTGATGTTGCTCGCCTGGACGATTGATGAGGCGTCGCTCTTTGATATGTAGTCCTCTTCTGAGGTATTGTTGTCTGAGCTGAGTGCGGACGTCATTCGATTACGATAATATTTGACCCAGTCGAGCTAGATCGAGCGATTCTCTGGTCTCGTTGCAAAGTGCCCAACGCTCCGATATCAGCTACAGTCGTACCGGCATCATTCAAAGTGCCGTCAAACCTTCCACTTCATGACGAGCTCGTAGTTCGATGATCGTAACGTTGTGCTGACGATAATGTGGCGGAGGACGAGAAAAGTTTGCGGAACCCACAGGGTTGATCTGTACTTGATTTGGTAGATTGGGCTGGGTCGGTGAGATGACGTCGTCTGCATTGCCGTTTGTCTTCGCCTGGAAAGACCTCGGGGTAGGTGTTGCTGGCTGTAGTGGGTCACTTGGGTCGGCCAGGTGATCACTTGGGATTGACGATCGCGATGGAATGACGGTTAACACGTACGCCGACAGGATATAGGCGGCGGGCATACTGAAAGGTATAACAATGGATAAGAATGGTGAGAACAGATACATTCAATATACAGTACGTTGAAATTGGCATCTCTGTGTGGATTTCCAACGACGGCGATATGCATGGCGCAAAAAAGGTTAAACTTGAAAATCGTCCAATACAGTGTAAATGTTGTAAAACATGCATGAACCCCAGTATGGGTCCCAATCAGATATCCGTAGGTGGGCCCTTTTCGGGAAATATAGTCGGTTCTCTGATAGTATATGAAAGGCACGTATGTAAATGTACAGACCTGATTTTTGAGACATCACATTAACATGGTAGCATATTACCACACAGTTACTATCTTAGTTATTTAGCATGTTAGCAGGAATTCACGTGGAACATAAACGAAACGTAGACAAGAAAAACAAATACGCTTTTTACTCGTAGATTAACTTTTTTTCATTTCAGATTGACTACTAACCACTCACGATTTTATGTTGATTCCGAATGATATAATAGTGATCATACTTTGTTACTGAATAAATTGTGTGATACTCGCTAAGATCCATGACGCTGCCGGCTAAATTTAGCGGGAACAGACAAAACAGATCAAACTGAGTAAGAAAACTTGTAAGTACTTGTAGTAATATAACTATAATTAAAAATAAAAAGTATCACTTGTGTTTCTAGCTGAAAACAGTAAAGCGTTTTTTTTTTTTTCAATGTAAACACAGACAGTTGTACCCTCAGTCAGAACTTAGAAATCCTGCATACGCTAGCTATATCGCGCAGTTTCAATACTGCGTGGTCAGTCTTGGCTAACGGTCATGAAACGAACTTCTTGCTACGTCAAAAACGATAAGATTCGATGCCACATCGGAATGAAGAAATACTTAGTCTTCACATTTTTATAGTTTTTGCGGAGTACGGTGTTGTAGTAATCAATTTTTTTCTTATACGGTAAATAATGATTAAGACAAGCTTGATTGCTTTGCCAGATTCGGAAGTTTAAATTAATTTTCAATTGCGTTCCTCTGTTCTATTTCAAATATTCTCAAATACTCCCCGATACCAAATGTATGCATAGCTTCTTAACGTTGTACGTCCTTAACTTAAAGGCAGAAAGTCAAACCTCACCTAGTAAACTATACTCGTGAGCTCTATCAATAAAGCATTGAGTTCTTCATTGCCTGACATTCAAGTGGAACATTGTTCCTTAAAGCCCGGGTTTTGATCTAGACATTACGGGAGCATTTTATATTGGGCGCGATACATCCCCCGACAAATAATGATTTATCAGATATGGCTGCTCATCTGGACGACGTATCCTTTCTAAGCATCTCTGTTGGTTACGTTCGATTGGCTCAAAGCTGTTAGTTGGCCTAAAATAGGGCCACTACACGCCGTTCAGACTCATCAAAGAACTCTAGCCTAGGTCATCAAATCGTAAGATAACTCAGGCAATCGACATAAAACTAAGGCCTACAAGTGTAGATTCGCAATAGCTCATGGATGAATTTCCGAACGAGCGTACGACCCGGCAAACCATAATGTTGGGGATTAGATAATAGTCGTCAGAGTCAGCTTAATCGGATATTGAATTGAATAACGATGAAGATAGAAACACTTAGGCGAGTAAGTTATAACCTAAGTAAGGTTCGTTTTGGTATCTGTCGTGTACTTCATCGACCCAAAAGCTCGAATTTGATGGCCATTTTTTGGAGACTGTTATGACTGAGTAAGTAATTGTTGTATAAGAACAACATAGTAAAACAATATACGAACAACGTCTACAACAACTATGCATATCATCAATAATATATGGCTGCTGGGTGGGATACAAACGCAATATATAAGTTTTAATTGTCACAATGTATACCCGTATATATATATATATGATTCTAAAGATCCATCAAAGTTCTTTCTGCATGTAGTACGTTTTCCGATAGAAACATAACATTAGAGCACACTGCTTGCCTGTGGAGAAATCTGTAATCCGAATCCTTTTGTTATGGATTCTGCTCACCTAAACTTAGACAGGTAAGAGCTTCCGACGCAAACGTCAGTTTGCACGAGACGTACGGCTTTTTCGACCGAGCAAATTTCCCTACTGAGTACTGCTAATCGCCGACTCGACGGTGTACTTGATCATAATCTGAGAGACGCTGATGCCCCTGGGTGCATCTAACACGTTCATTCAACATAGCCAAAAAAAAAATATCGTTTGCTTGCTAATTCTCAGCTAACGACGAAGTTCAGAGCAACTGTCCACGTTCAATTGGTATATCAGCTCAAAGCATCACTTCTAACCGACATTACCTTTACACTTATACATTTTTAACAGGCACGCATAATAAAATGCTAGAGGGCCCACAGCAAGTACGTTGTGATGCTATGGCAAATCGTGTCGAAGTTTTGGTGCTATACAGGGCAACTCCGTTAATTCGGTTACGGGCTGTTGCTCCGTTAGGTCTTTGGTCTGCCGTCTGAACCTTAACAAAACTCTGACTCGCGGGGTCGGTGGCGCTTCCGGAGTTCAGACCGTTGCTGCTGTCACGAAACAAGCGACCTAACGCAGGCCAATCCTCAGAATTGCATCAGTGCAAGGTAACCTTCAAGCTTCGAGGCTCACCATGTCCGATACCTCTAGCTGCTACCAAGCACGATATGGCTGTTATGGCCGAAGTATTGCTAGCACTAGCTTTGCTGTAGCCTCGTTTGGTGCTACCTCGCCCGCGACGCGCTTACTCAGGGTAGCGATGTCCCGCTCGAGCAAGCTTGTAAAGGACCAAAATGGTGCACAAAGCCCGAATAGAGCCATCATGCCTGCCTGTGCGGATCGTATATTGTAGCCTAATAATTGAGCCGAACTGCGTATTCAATATATTCTATATGCAGTAAAAAGGGATTAAATTAATTAGGGTGTTTGGCGATACAGTCTGTGCGTTGTTCGCGTGGCCTTCTGTGAACGGGTAATTCGCCATCGGAACTTTACTTAAATGGGTGGAACTTTACGACGAGAGTTTGCCAAGGCCCGTTGCTATGTACTGAAGGGATTGATATGAAGGTAAATTGTAAAGTGAGCAGCAAAGTAAGCCAAAACACATGCGACGTGAGATCGGCACTGATCGAAGGGACGAACGTTGACGAAGTTAGAAAAGTGGCTATTTTTCTGTATTAAGTGCAGGTGTTGTTATTGTTTTATTTACCTGCAATACCGTTTAAGAAAAATTTTACCTTAGCAGCCATAGCAGAGTGTCGCTTCCATAAAAGATTATAGCTCTGAAGAGAGATGGACTCAAGTGATAGGTAATCAATCTAGTGCCATTGACGACAACCTAGTTTGAATCTGAAACTAGGCAAGATATAAAAACTATATTCTGTTAATAGTTTTTGATGTTTCGTTAATGTTTTCTATATAATAATTATATAGATAAAATTGCAGACTATATTACGTTTATCTAATTGAAATGTTTTAGATACTATATAATGCCATTTCTAATAGACTTTTACTTTAGTCGAGTAGCGAGAAAGCAACCTCAAGCGATTACTTCCGAGTTGTCTCTATGAACTAATCAACTGTAAATAGCCCATCTCCCAAACCCATTTACGAACAGCAATCTATCTAGTCAATGTTGAGGCCTTACCCCAACATATACCATCGTGTCCCTGCTCCTTTGAAACTAAGCTAAAGGCACCCAGATGTGTTGTAGTGAGTAGGTTGAGTCGCATCTTGATAAAGCAAAATATTGACTTCAACCAGGGATACACTCTCCGATCGAATGCTCCCATTTCAATGCATAATTAGGACAGGTGCCGCCTCTCGATTGAAAGGCCGCTTGTGTTTAAACTGTCCACGTTTGCGTTACGCTTGAGGAACAAGCCAAAGGTAAGAGTGCACGTTGTTGATACAGGAAACAGGTCTGCGGGGTAGCTGTAAGACGTGCCACCTCGTTCACTACGTCCGAGTTATCTGCCCGAATATTTGCTACGTACGCGCGGTTGATTAGGTTGCGTCTAGCCGGAGGATAAAGCCTTGCAGACTGTGGACCGATTCTTTTGGGTCGCTGTTGATTGGGTTGAAAGGTTCGAATCCACCGCAGAACAAGCACCATTCGTTGTCCATGGCACCACACTCCGAGCAATCACCCGAGCCATAGATGTGGCCCGCTGCCGCACTGGGAGGATGGCAAGGTTCCATGCATGGTTGCACGAACACGTAACGACCGGGTCCAAAAATGAGTAAAATAGCTGTCTGATAACTAAACTTTCAGTTCCTTTCTCAACATCGAAAAGCAAATGGAGGACTTACACACTACGTCGACGAATATATTAGATTAACACTATACGTTAGGAGTTATTCAAGGCTGCTGTGTCCTTCATTTACTGCCCTTATCCAATTTGAACCTCGAATGACAAAAGGACGTCTCCCAGCGTGAACGAAAGCAGTAAACACGACCTTGCCACTAGCTATGTATCGAACAAGCCTTCGGTAGCGTTCTTCAAAATGAGATAACAACGAACACTTGTTTCGGCCTAATCGCGTAAAAAATCTTCCTCGGAAGAAGCAAACAAAAAGAAAACTGTCAACAGTAATACTTTGTAGGACACTCAAACGTGTCACAGATACGAACCGACTAAAACAAGCCGGTTAATAAAACTACAGGGGCATTTGACCTAACGCCATACGCAATTTAGCAGAAAGTGAGCTGGTTTCCTAGGTAAAGGCCCAACTAATATATGTACATTGTACCAGCTCCGCTCACGGACATGCAGACATTTACAGACAATATCATGTAATGAATCTAAAGGCGGCATTCTGTAGTGTGATGGATGGTTCAGGCATTTCATGCTATACCTAGGGGCAAGTATAGCATGAGTTGTCTGCATTGAAATAGGAACATCGTTATTCTTTGTTTGGCTCTCGCATTATAGAAATATGTTTATTATTGTAGTGTATACATTTTCCATAAGGTAAAACTTGCAACATGAACCAATAAGTTCAAAGTGTAGCCACCGAATCAACTGGGTATATCGGATTTTCTTAAAACAGTCTCTCAGTAAACAATGTAATTTGACTTTAGGACAAATGTAAACGTAGTATTCTCAGACGACACCGCAACGGGAAGTTAATGTAAAACGAACGAGCTTAAGACACATCCGTAAAGATAGACGGACGTTACCGCGGTCGATACTCCACAACGAATAGTTTCCAAAAACGCTCATAGTCTTTTTAGCAAAGTAGTTTAGTAGGTAAAAACGTTACCGCTACATTATTAACGGGACAAGAGAGCTAAATAACAAAGGAGATAATACGT